ATAGTTGACTTTTGGCAATTTGGCAAAAAGGGCCAACTTCACCAATGCATAACTTCCTCAATTTTGACTATTTGGAAGTGTTCTTGGACTTTTTAGAAATCTTGAGATGTCCTCTAATAAACCCTTTTGGTCCCATATCAATTTGATATTCCATTCTCATGTATGAAGCTTTGACAAAAAAGGTGTTTTTGTTGACTTTCCAAAATGACCTGTAATGTCCAAATTCTTAACTTCTTGTGAGTGCATATTTTGAACTTGGTAGCTGAAGATGGATTGTAGAGAATTGCATCCTCTTAAAAATGAGATTTGGATGGGTCATTTCTCATAAAGTATGAGAAAGTTATGCTTGGTCAAAGTTGAGTTGACTTTTCCTACAAAACCCTAATTTAGCAACTTTTGAGTCTTGATGAATTATGAGCAATCCTTGATGAATCATGATCAACCCTTGATCAAATGATGGAATATACTTAAAAAATGAGGATGTTGACCAAAAATCTTAAAGTTTGACTGTATGTAGGCCATAGTTGACTTTTGCCCTAGCATAGTCGATTTTCAGGCCTTTGAGCAATTGACTGAGCAAATTTCCTCTGCAAGGCTTGAAACTTGACATGGAAGGTATTGAGAAAATATTAGGATATTGTTGAGCATTTGGGACCACTTGGATTCAAGTATCTTGATGCAACATGAAACCCTAATTTGGGGTAGACTGCCTTAGGAGAGAGCTTGTCTGGCCAACCCTTGGACTTCCTTGAGCAACTTGAGGATCTTTCTTGAAATGTTTTGAGAAATATGGGAGGGAAAATTTTGGGGTACAACAGCTGCCCCTGTTCAATCTTCTTAAACTTAAGGATATAGATTGGCATTCATTTAATAGTTCATCTATAGCACCATGTGCATCACTATAAAAAATAGAAAATTCATTACTAACCTCATCATCTTCATTATCGGAATGGTGTGAGGCCATCAATGCTAGATTTGCACTTTCATCACTATCGGAATCGGACGAAGAACTTATTTCATTATCCTCCCATGCAACATAGGCCTTTTTGTTCTTAAATTCCTTTTTGCTTTTGTATCCACCTTTCTTAGAGAGTTTTGGACAATCCGGCTTGATATGACCTTGCTTACCGCATTCATAACATGTGACTTCTTGTGTTGATATGGAAGCTTCCCTTTTCTTAAATTGTTTCTTTCTTTTTGCATGATAAAGGGATTTGTCATTTCTACCAAAAAACTTACCAAGCCTTTTAACAAGAAGCGTGCAATTTTCATCTTCTTCCGGATTGTCTTCCCTTTCAACTTCATTGGAATAAATCTTTAAGGCAATATTCTTGGATTTCTTCTCTTGATTTTCATGTTTTTCAAGTCTTCTGAGTTCCGTTTCATATTCTTGAAGTTTTCCAAACAATGTTGCATAAGTCATTGAGGAGAGACTTTTCTTTTCTGAAATTGTTGTTACCTTTGGTTGCCATTCCCTAGTTAAAGACCTAAGTACTTTCAGATTTAGTTCATCATTTATCAAAGTCTTACCAAGAGCACTTAGATGATTTTTCAAGTGCACGAATCTCTTTTACAAGTCAAGGATGGTTTCTCCGGGCTGCATTCGAAATAACTCGTATTCTTGGCTCAAGGTATTTAGTCTTGATCTTTTAACTTCAACAGTTCCTTCATGAGTTTGTACCAAGGTATCCCATATTTCTTTCTCCATTTTTCATGCCGAGACAAGGAATAATTCATCCATGCTAAGTGCGCCTTGAAGAAGATTTATTGCCTTTTTATCATAGAGAACATTCTTCTTATCAACTTCGTCCCATGCCGCTTTAAGCTTTGATGAGCCGACACCATTGATTATCGTTATAGGAATAAATGGGACATTCTCGACGGCATCCCATATTTCTTTTCCTTGTGCTTCTAGATGTGCCTTCATGCGTATTTTCCAGAATTCAAAATATTCAACACAAAATAGACGAGGCTTGTTGTTACTAGCACCATCTATGAAAATAGGATTTTAATTTGCGGAAGCCATTCTGGATCTTTTAGGAACATGTTACCTATAACCTGCTATAATACCAATTGTAAGTATGAAGTGCGCCTAAGAGGGGAGGGGGGTGAATTAGGTACTTTAAATTTTTTACCGGTTTTAGAATACTTGTTCTTATTTTTCTGGTTTAGTGCATGAGTTTATAAATGTGTTTCTTTCTTTTCTGGTTTATGACTAGTGATGAAAGCGGTAAATGGAGAAAAGTAAAGAACACAAAGATATATCCTGGTTCCCCTTACAGTTCGAGAGTACTCCAGTCCCCTTTCAACATGAAAGAGATTTCCTTATTATGGCAAACTTAAACAAGAACTATCCAAAACCAAGAACAATCCTCTTGGACCAAGAACAATCCTCTTGGACCAAGAACAATCCTCTTGGATTTTCACTATGTCAACAATGAGAACAATCCTCTCAAAGTGACTTTACTTGTATCCAATAATCCTAGAAAAAACAAGATTTATAAAACCACTTGAACTTATTTTCAACAATCCTGAAAAATAAGCAAGTATATACCAATATTTAATTTGAGTGAGTTTGATTAGCAATGATCATTTTGAGTGATTTTATCAATGAATTAATCTTCTCTTCCAATGATAGTATTATATAATGACTCAAGATATATAATGCTCAAAGTTTTCTGGTTGACAATATGTGAAAGTATGCAGAAAACTTGTGTATGAAAATGTATAACAGCTTGAGTTTGATTTTTGAAAATTCAGAAAATATGATTGGAAGAGGTACTTAAAATGATTTTGAAAATGAGTATTTATATGTTCATAGCACCCTTTTGAAACAGCATAAATTTATGCAAATGAATCATGAACAATTGTCAAGATTCAATGAAAAGTTTCCATGAAATGGTGTTATGAAAAGGTATGTTCAAAGCTGTTGATTTTCAAAAACGTTCAGCATGCAATCGATTGCACCCTTGTGTAAATCGATTGCACGAGGTTTTAACAGCTAAAAATTCAAATATTTTGAGTGTGCAATCGATTGCATAAGTGTGTAAATCGATTGCACTTGAAGTCAGTGGTAAAAATTGATTGAGAGCAATCGATTGCACAAACATGTAAATCGATTGCACTTAGAAACAGTAGCAAATGTTTTGAAAAATTGAAGCATGCAATCGATTTTTGTATGGTGACATAATTCGGCCTTTAACTGGAACAAATGGATGTGAATAACGCATTTTTGTATGGTGATCTAGATGAAACAATCATGATGAGATAACCTGAAGGGTGTGTCGAAAAAGGAAAGGAAGATTATGTGTTCACGTTAAATAGATCTTTATATGGGCTAAAACAATCTCCTCAACAATGGAATAGGAGATTCAACAAGTTCATGGCACACATAAGTTTCATTAGAAGCCAATTCGACCATTGTGTTTACTTTAGATTTCAACATGGTAATTCATTGTTATTTTGTTGTTTTATGTTGATGATATTCTCATATCAAGCAACAATGACGAAGATGTAATGAGGGTGAAGACTGAACTCAATAAGGAGTTCAACACGAAGGATCTGGGAGTTGCGTCCATGATTCTTGGGATTGACATCCAAAGAGATAGAAAGCAGTCGAAATTATGCTTATCTTAAGACCTACAGAAGATTATCAACAAGTTTGGTATGTCGAATTCAAAGCCTGTTGTGAATCCAATAAATCCTCAATTTAAACTGAGTATAGACCAGTGTCATAATACTGAGGTTGAAAGAGCTTATATGAATAACATCCCATATGCTAACATAGTGGGTTCTTTGATATATGATATGGTCTATACTAAACTCGACATAACATATGCAATAAGTCTTATAAGCAGGTACATGGAGAATCCTGGAAAGGTTTATTGGCAAGCATTGAAGTGGATTTTAAGGTACATAAATGGGTCTATGAATAGAGTATTAATTTATGGTGGAGCCTTGGGTGAAGATAGTAAAGCAGTAATTGAAGGGTATGTCGACTCTGATTATGCAGGTTATATAAATTCTAGAAAATCTATTTCTGGATATGTTTGTACTATGTTTCGTACAAAAATTAGTTGGAAAGCAACACTTCAGATGGTTGTCGCATTATCAACCACTGAAGACCAATATATTTCCTTAACTGAAAATATGAAAGAAGCATTGTGGCTGGAAGGTTTTACTAAGGAGCTGAAACTTCAAGGACACGAGTGAAATTGTACGCAACCAAATTACCACGGATCTGAACTCTGAATGCGAGGAATCAACAACTTTTACAACCTGCATTTCAACAAAATCAATTGCTAAAGTTCAATGGTTTTGAAGGAGTTAATTTGTAGTATATGAAATCAGAAGAGTATCTCTAGAACGAAGGGATTGACGGAAAGTACAACCGGAAGTTTGAAATAAGAAGGATAATGGATTTTCCAGGTTTAAGCGTTTGCATATTTATTGTGTAGAGTTTACATATCGAAAGTTAAACAATTTAAAATATTGTAGATTGGAAGTTGTGTAGTATAATAGCTGATTTTTCCGGCGCTTCATATTTCAAGAAGGAGAAAGCTGCTATTAATTATCCGTGTAATGGATAGTCAACCCTGTAGTAAATACTCCCTCCGTCCTATATTATAAGCAAAAGTCATTTTTTAAGTTAATTGAATATTTAATGTATCCGATAAAAATAAACTTTTGCTTATAATATGAAACATAGAGAATACATAATAATGAAATAAAAATAAAGTAAAATACAACCAAAAAAAAAAATTAGATTGACACATCAGTGCTATTAATTATCAAAGGAATGTAATGCAAGTATTATTTAAATAGTCCTAGTTACCCTTAAAATTAGACTAATTATAACATCTGAATTTTATTTAATTATGAGATACTTTTATATTTATAATTTATAATAGATTTAACGTAACACAGTATCACTCTCACTCCCAGTTCCCTCTCTCTCCGCATTTCCCGCAAACACCAACAGACCTTATCTTATCACCAAAATGTTCATCATCCGCCGTTTCCAAAAAGCTCCTCCTCCCCCACCCACCACCGAAGACCCAAACACCACCACTTCCGACACCGACTCCTCCTCCTCCTCCTCCGACGAAGACTCTGGGCCCTACGATGAAGCCGAAATCGAAGCCTACCTCAACGCCTTCCGCATCGAAAACGCCGAGGAGCCAGTCCCCGACTCCGAACTCGACCCAGACGCAAACTACAAAGACACAATGGAAGCATTACAATCCCCCGCCGCGAAGAAACTCTTAGAGAAAAACGCCCGTCAGGCTGTTGACCCTTTCAATCCGTTTGATTTCCCTCCGGATAACGAGGATTGGAGTGAGGAGGATTTGAGAGAGCTTTGGGATTATGGGAATAACTCGATTGCTGGTTCTGGTTGGGACCCGAAGTTGACTACTCCGGAGGAGTGGCATTATGTGAAGGGACAGCTTGCTAAGGGGAAAGACCTTCCTGTTGCTCCTTTTTATCTTCCTTATAGGAAACCTATTCCGCCCATACCAAATAATAATGCTTCTATTAAACGTCCTGAGGATGTTATTGAAGAGTTGGATAGGATTGAAGAGTTTCTCAAATGGGTTAGCTATATTTTTGAAGATGGTACCACGTATGTGATAATTGATTCCTCTTTTGCGATAACATGTTTACTTTAGTATTAAGCGTTGTTAAATAGCCGCTACGACGGCTCTAAAAATGTGTTGTGTAGTGGAAATTAGAGAAATGGATAGTTTGTTCGACAATGCTGGTTTTGTTTGTTATTTATGAATGTTCTGTGATGTTGTTTTTTTAGATATGAAGGAACTGTTTGGGATGATGTTGCTCAAGGAAAAGGTGTTTATTCTACTCAAGATGGGCTTGTCAGGTTTGTTTTTGCTCCATTGTGGTGATGTAAAGTTAGTGTTGTTAGTTTTGCTTGGATGGTTTAAATGATAGTGATAGTGAGAGGTAAAAAAAGATATAATGAGGTGTAGTTGTTTGGATAAATAACTTAGTTTAGTGTTTGTAGTATAAATGCTTATTATATAAGAGTTTATCTATAGGTTATTTCTCTAACGAAAGGTAAAATAAGTTCAAACTAATTTCGTATAAACTATCTTGGAGGACTTGTGGAAATAAGCTGAAAACAATTTGTGAATATATCATAAGTTGTTTCCATAAGCTCTCACAAGTGCTTATGGCAATAGATCAGTTTAATTAAGTTAATTTAAATGGGCCCACGTGTAACAAGTTGGGGTTGGAGGGGACTTTGTAGGATGTCATGGCGTTGGCATTACCAGTCTTGAATGGATTCGATGTAGTGAAAAAGTGACTTATATGATTGATAAGAATATGATTGTCAAAATTGGTTTGCTAAACATGCGATACAAGCCGTCTGATCTTGCTTGGATGTTGTTGATTTTCTTGACTGACTGCGGGGAACTGCAACTGCAGCATTCCAGGGCTGATGGGGGAGCTGGAGAAACAATGATAATTCACCCTTTTGTGGAATGCTTATTTTTAATATATTTGTAAGCATGTTGTCTTGGTTCCTCATTCTAAAGCCAATTGGGCTTGATTTACAAACAAACTACTGACAAACACATGACTTGAAAATTTGGTAGAGGTGGCAAACCAAGCTTTTGGTCTTCAAAGAGGCTTTGATTTTGTATGAGTGAATTGGTTATATCACTTTGACAAAATTAGTTAGAGGGAAGGACGGAAAATGATATTGAGAATATTAGTTTAACTGTGGTGTCTAGTGTATTCTACATATAACTTGGAGAGGTTTTGTAATCAACCGATGCATAACAAAGAGTTATTATTTAAATGACCGACATCTGAAAATAAGTAACAGAACTTGATTAAAGTGAGACAAATTCTCAGTTGAATAACTGTCTTTGAATTGGAAAATCGCAGATTATACAACCTATTGGTGCAGAGTAAGAGTCGTTACTTTTTCCTTTTGAGGATATAATGCATAAAATGGTCATGTTTTCTGTGGTTTTCATCGTATCTTTGTATGTCAGGACATCATGCAACTCTTTCTTGGCACGGACATTTAACAATGTAGTTTTTTTCTCATAGGTATGAAGGTGAATGGGTTCGAAACGACCCAGAGGGTCACGGTGTTGTGGAAGTTGATATACCTGTTATAGAACCTGTTCCTGGATCCAAGTATGCATCTCTGAAGTCTTAGATTGTGCCATAGTTTGAAATTACATTCTACTGCTTGTAAACAAAACCTTGACTGCTTTTTATGTCCTTAGACTTGAAGTAAATATGCGAGCTGAAGGGAAGATTATAAAAAGGGATTTTATGTCCCCAGAAGAGAGAGAATGGCTTGATAAGGATATTGAAGATAGTTATCGTCTTGCAAATGGACGATACGAAGTCCCCTATTATGAGAAGAAAGCATGGGTTGAGGAATTTGGAAAAAAGCCGTAAGTTCAATTATAGATTCTTGCTCTAGACATCACACATGCTGCATTGTCTCTTTTCTGCTCCTCGCTGATACATACGGGTCTGAAAAATAGTTTATATTTTTGTGCCCAGGGAAAAAGGTCGCTATCGTTATGCTGGTCAGTGGAAGCATGGGAGGATGCATGGATGTGGCATATATGAATTTAATGAGCGTATCATATATGTAGGTCCATGGATGATCTATAGTTTTTGTCAACTGTCAACCCCAATCAACAACTTTATTTTTGATATTTTACATAAAAAAAAGGGGGGCATGAAGCTGGACTTTTAAGATGAAAAATAAAAATTTAATTTATATACTCTTTCATTTTACATGTCAATTAATTATAACTGTCAGATCATTAAAAGCGTTAAACTATAGTCATATACATGATTGCTTATAATCTGTTGACAGTGTAAAACTTTGTATACTGACAGTGTTAAAATAAACTGAATATAATTGCAGAGAATAATATGATTTCCTTTAACTTTTTGACAATATAAAACTTTATTTTTTAGCTCAATTTGTTACAATTTTAAGTTTAAGATGTACCATCTGTATTATTTATTTGGTTGAACCTTGCTACTAAATATGAATGTTGGGAAATGCTAGTCATCTTTGACATAAGGGAAAATTCATTTTCATCTCACTTGATTCACGCAGAAGCCCTATTTTCTTGCATACTTACATTATCTGTGCATGTACAGGGTAGATTTTATTTTGGAGAAATATTGGATGATGATGAGGGGTGTGATGACGAAACTTCAGCGGTATTAAATACTCTTCTCCTATGAAAATGATAAAAAGAATATTTGATAATCTAAGAGGTGTAGCAATATCTCATTCTCTGACACTGTCAATTTCAGCTGCATGCTGGTATAGCCGAAGTTGCTGCTGCAAAGGCTCGCATGTTTGTGAACAAGCCTGATGGAAGTATGATGTTTTTTCAAATACAAAATTTTATATTGAAAACCTTACACTCATATTTTTTGTTGGTCCTGACTTTCCTTTTGTCTGTTTTTAGATTCATTCATTAGCATGTACTATAGATTAAGGTATAAAGGTTCATATTCCACAATCATCTTCTTCCTTCCTCATATCCTCACCTTTATATTTTAGTATTCATTTTAGGATTTAACTTGTATATAACGTCCTAGGTATAGAAGCCATGCTACTATCCTTATCTCACGATAATGGTTGAGTTCGCCGTTCCATGCTGCTTCCTGGATGCTAGGACGGATTCATACAGGGACAACCAGGGGTTAGGGCCCCTCTCCCCAATACAATTTGTTCTATCAAAAATATATTGTTATACATTAATTATTAGAAATTAATTTATGTATAAACGTACACAAACGACATTAAGATGTAAATACTAGTAATCATTTGAGAAAAAAAAGTGATTGAATATAACTACATATGTCGGTGCTTCGTGAGTGTCTGACATGACATGTGTAAGACAACAAACATACTTTCAATCTAAATTGTTTGTCCTAAATAGTATATAATACTATTACATATTATACCAACATTACGTGGTAGGTTCAGTAGATATTTAAGCCCCTCAATTATTTTATCGGAGATTCAATCTTTGATCACTGATTAACCCTTGAATTATAGGTCATAGTTATATCGAGAGATCAGTCTCCACAATGCTCTTCATTTTACAATGTTTTAAAATTAAATTTGTTCTAGCCCCGGATAGATAGGTTTTTGGATCCGTTTCTACCTGGAGGGAGAACTATGCATCACATCGCAAATATGTAAAGGATCAGATTTACCTCTTTACCATTTGACTATCATCTCAACTAGTATTAGAGATGGTTTAGCGTGCAGGTTGATTATTGGCGTACTTATAGAATCTTCCAGCTTTTATTGTATGGTTGAAAATTTATATCCTGTATGTTTCGAGACAAATCTCCCCCTGTTTTATTTTCCTGATTGGCATGATTCTGTTTTTAATCAAGTTATTTTCCATATATCATTTGACATTTTGTTTGTGCAGTGGTAAGAGAAAAGAGAGGTCCATATAATGATCCACAACATGCTTACTTGTACGAAGGAGAGGATGTATGGATGGCGCCTGGTTTCATTAACCAATTTTATGAAGTAAGGCTTACTGGAAAACCTTTACCATAGTGCATTGCTTATTTTCATTTTAAGTGAACGGAATTAAGCATGCATATGGTTCTGTTACATTACAGGTCCCTGATTACTGGAAAACATATGCGCATGAAGTTGATCAGGAAAGAGAAGGGTGGTTGAACTCTTTCTATAGATCTCCTCTAAGGATACCTATGCCAGCTGAGTTGGAATACTGGTGGTCCAAAGGTATTTAGCACCTGTGTAACAGTTTTATTTTTGTGAAATTTTTTATTTTAAGTCATTTTTTGATGTTTTGATCAGTTTGTTACAGTTCTTAAAAATATTGAATTATTGAATATCAAAATCATTTTTTTTTATATTCTGTAAGAAACATGCCTTATTTTTTCTATTCTTTTGCATGTACAAGTACATAATTAGAACTAAGTTTATTTAAAAATAATAATAATTATTCTTCCTCCAAATCCTTGACCAGAGGAGAATCACGAGCTTCCTGAATTTATCCTCATTAACAATGAACCCGAGCCTGATCCCGAAGACCCATCAAACAAAATATACACTGAGGATCCTCTCATCCTTCACACTCCAACCGGAAATATTATCAATTATGTCGAGGATGAGAAACATGGAATACGGATGTTCTGGCAACCCCCTTTGAAAAGAGACGAGGAGGTAGATCCGGAAAAGGCTACGTTCCTTCCCCTTGGTTTTGATGAGTTTTTTGGGATAGAAAAGGAGGAGAAGAAGCTGAAATCATCCACGCCGTGGTTTGAAAAAGTGGGAAAATGGGCTGAAGCACAGATGAAAATTAGTGAAGTGAAAAAGGAGGCAAATGAGAAACAACTTGAACTTATAGAAGCTGAAATATGTCTGGAAGAGGCTATTGAGGATATGGAAGAGTTATTTCGCAGAAGAGAGAAAGAAGAGAGAAAGAAGTCTGAATTGGGTTTGCCAGATGAAGATGATACAGTATCTGTAGCCAAACAAGATGGAAAAGCCCGGGTAGATGAGGAAGAGGAAGATGACGAAGATGACGAGGATGATATTGCACCATCGAGTTTTGGGTCCATTGAGCCAGAACAAAAGACAGATCAGCAGAAGGAAAAACCTGGCAAATCTCCCTTTTCTACATCTTCGCTAGCATTTGCTTCTAGCAGCCTTATCTCCGCGGTGAGTTAGGATTTTCTACTTTTCTTTTATGCATGTTTTATTTTAGGACTCTTTCATTATCTGTCTGCCTTTGATCAAACATGCAAAACCCTGATTCCAGTATCCAAAGAGTAAGAGTTGTGTTATTTTAACACTAATTTCACAATAATTTATATGGTTAATATAGTTCAAATGCATGGTACATTATGTTCAGTGGATGGTTAACTAATATAACAAGGTGTCTCAACTTATTAATTACCAAGTGTATACAACTAATTATGATTTTGAACATTAACCACGATTTTCAGGTGTAAGCTTGAACACAAATCATGAGCAATGAGTATCATGTATATTTGAACACCTGAAAATCATTTATAAAATAATGAATATTTGAATGCAATTTGGATTGTTAATAGATATAATGTATATTCAACATCTTAAAAATTGTGCTTAATGACCTTTAAACTTATTTGCTGAACAAAATTAACCACATATTTAAACTACATTAATCATATAAATTGTTGTCAAAATTCATGTCAAAGTATTTGTTCTGATCTCATAAAGATCAGGCGCCCTTGAGTAATATCTGACAACATCAAACTGGAGTTTTCTCTTCTTCAACACCATTGGGCAGTTTAAAATAGCTCATGGGCAACTATTATGCTACCAATTTTGTATTTGATTGAATAATTTATCAAGTTAGCTTATAGGTCATTTGACTTTTTGTGAACCCTTGTGTGTGTGTTGACTTTTCTCACAATTCAAATTTAAATAGTCACACGAGGGATGATAAATAATATTCATTCATATTGTTGCTATAATATTCATATTACAGCATGCTTGCATCGCTTTGCCAAGGAGAAAAACATGTGCCTTTGGTCATCCTATTTGCACCTCATTTCTTGAACATTTTATTGTTGTATATTTGGCTTGTCAGGTTCCATCCAAGCTGCAACAATCATTTACCTTCTGGAACAAGGTTGGATCAAAACCAGGGTTGATTCCTCCTGCGCAGCGCACTGATCGCACCAGCGATGTGAAAACAGTTTCTTCAGTCAGTTTCCCTCCGGCGACAGGCCAAAAGGGTAGGTTGAAAGCCACGGGTAAAACACAGGAAAAAGCCGAGGCAAGAAGTTATTTAGGTGGGAAATTTCTTGAGGTATCCTCTATGTCTCAGACTCGATCATGTTATATGGCTTCTGCAAGTTCAAAGAGCATCTCAAAGGAGCAGAGAAGGAGTGGTGATGTGTGGTTGCATTCGGCACCAGAAAGGGATTTAGACAGCGTACTATCTTTGAATTCAATTTCTTCAATGAACAATTTTCATCCAAATACCCAAAGAGATACTTCATTTCAAATTTAATTATTGAAGGCCATTTTGATTGTTAACTAGGCCTTAGTGTACCAAAAAATGAGCGAACATTGTTCTGCCCCGGCATAGAGACCAAAAAAAATTAGAACTGTGCTGTAATGTTTGTCTTTCAAAAATCTGAAAAGCATATGCTGAATACTTGCCTCCATAATCATTTTGCACCATGTTTCATTTTATTTACACAATTTTGTCATTGTTTGAGAGTTTCGGAGGTGAGAGAGGGGGGCAAAGACCTTTGAAAAATAAGAATGGATGAAGCGAAAATAATAGAAGGTTTTGGGAGGGAAAGATTCGGTAGAGTTTACCTTTAACAAGTTTGTGATGGAATATCATACTTTTTATTGATTCTAATCATTCCAAATATAGTTGCCTATTAAATCATTTACATACAAACTAATGTTAAAAATGTATAGTTAATGGTATAATGTGTTGTTATGACAGTATCTTCACATAATGTGTTGTTATGACAGTAGCCTAAGATCCCCCTTCAAGTTGGAGCATGCAAATTGTGAATGTCCAACTTGTTTAGAAAATAATTAAATTGTTGTTTTCCCAATGCTTTAGTAAATATATCAACTAGTTGAATATTTGTGGACACATGGTGAGTTGAAATGTTGCATTTGAGGAGTTCATCACGTAAGAAATGACAGTCAACTTCGATGTGTTTTGTGCGTTCATGGAAAATTGGATTGACAGCTATATGCAATACCGACTGACTATCACAATATATCTTCATGGGGCGAGATTGAGAGACGCCAAGGGAGAGTAAAGTGCTTTCAACCATTTTACCTTACACGCCGTAGAGGCCATGGAACGACATTCTACCTCAACAGACAAACGTGAGACAACCTATTGCTTTTTGGTTTTCCAAGAGATAGGCGAGTTCCCAAGAAAAATAATCCATCCAGTAAGAGAACGCCTTGTCAAAGGACAACCTGCCCAATCTGAGTCACACCAGGTGTTAATTTGAAGATCACAATCAACTTGGAGAAGAATACCTTGATCGGGATTTTCCTTGAGATATCGAACAACACGGAGAGTTGCATTCCAATGTTCTTCTAAAGGTTTTTGCATAAATTAAGCCAACATATGAACTGAGTAAGAAAGTTCAAGTCTAGTGACAATTAAGTAGACCAAACGACCTACTAGTCTTCGGTAGCGATCCGAATTGGAAAGTGGAGTTCCAATGGCCAAAGGAAGATGGTGATTCTGATCTAAGGGAAAACCATCAGATTTAGCACCCCAAAATCCAGCTTCAGTGATGATGTCAAATGTGTATTTTCGTTGGCACAAGAAAATTCCTTTGAAATTGTGAGCCACCTCAATGCCAAGCAAATATTTTAAACGACCAAGTTATTTCATATGAAAGCATGTGCTCATGTAGGATTTGAAGGACTCAATTGCTTTGTTGTTGTTTCCCGAAATGATAAGGTCATCCACGTAAACTAACACATACAACTCTACACAGCCACAATGTAGAGTAAAAAGAGAGTAATCAGAGTAGGACTGTGTGAAACCTTACCGTTGAAGAGAGCTTTTTAGTTTGACAAACCAACACTGAGGTGCTTGTTTTAAACCGTATAGAGATTTCCGCCATTTTGCTGAAGTGGTAAAGCGGTAAGCAAAAATAAGTATTTTTATAAGGGTGATATAAGTTATATCATATCGTCTCCACATGGATTAGTGAGAGGGAAAAACTACCGTTCAACAGTTTCAATCCTTCTAAGTTTAGAAAAGAGTTTGCAGGTAAAGTGCGGGAAAAGTAAATAAAGCAATAAATAAAGCGATAAACAATCATCTGCAGCATAAGAGAATTCATTCTGGAATCACATTTCATTCTACCCGTCAAATACTTAAAGCATAACACAAACAACACGGAGACATTAAGCTCCGATACCCACGACAATTATTAGCTCTAAATTTATTTCTAGCATCTAGAAACTAATATATATCATTCCCTAACCAAGATTCAAGAATTCTATCTCTAGAACAACCCAAACCCCAAACATAAATGCAAAAAGATCAAGGAACAACATCAATCAAGATTTGTAAAGCAAGCATATATACAATCCCATGATCAACAAATGTATATACAATAAAAGTAAATATATACATACAACACTCACCATTGGAATGAAACATATGGAAAAAGGAGATGAATGGGAAACTTCTCGGGGTGTCAACACGATCGGAGACAACCCATAACCAATCGACATGATGAACCACCCAATCATGTTGCTTGAACCTCTAAGCTACAAAGAATTGGATCAGAGCTCCTCCAAGAGGGAAAGAGATGATAAAAAACCTAAAAAATATGTTCTAAGCTATTTATACAAAAACTGAAAATCGCAGGCCGTGCTTAGCCCCAAATACCGCGCTAAGCGCTCCTTCATTTATTCACTAAACTGCCTTAGAGCGTGCTAAGAGTCAAATATAACACTAAGTGTGCTCGCTTCTGCCAAAATTTCCTCTTATGCTCTCAGGTCGCGCTAAGCGCCCATAGACCGCGCTTAGCACCGTCTGTAACACTTATTTCTTCTAAAATTGTGCGTTTAAAGTCGTGTCTTCAACACTTTATTGCTCATGCTCCAAATACCCATCAATACCTACAAAAATACATTAAAACTATCAAAAGGTACATAAATGAATCGAAAACTTAATAATACGCAAAGTATACATATTTACACACAAAGCAGGGAATTTATTCAAATAATATTAACAAAAAAACCGATAAGTGCCACATATTATATACACAAAATAACGACATTTTGGACCTTATCAAAGCGGCATAGCTGATTTGGAATAGTAGTCTTAAAACCGGGAGGTAATTTCATATACACTTCTTCATCAAGCTCACCATGTAGAAAGGCGTTATGAACATCCATTTGATGAAGTTCCCAATGTTTTGCAGCAACAACCGCGAGAAACGTTCTTACAGTTACCATTTTCACAACTGGAGCAAAGGTTTCATGATAATCCAACCCCTCAACTTGGTTGTTCCCCATAATAACAAGCCTTGCCTTATAACGTTCAATAGTTCCATCTGAGTGATATTTAATTTGATACACCCATTTACTGCCGACATCCTTTTTGTTTGAAGGAAGTGTTTCTGCTATCCAAGTCCCATTATTTTCAAGAGCCTTACTTTCCAACTGCATGGCATTTCGCCATCGAATATCTTTGACAGCTTCAACAAAGCTTTATGGTTCTATGGCTGTAGAAACAACGACTAGAAAATGCCTGTACTGTGATGAAAAGTTAGCATAATTCACATATTTGGATAATGGATAGGGTGTACCTGAAGGACGTGACAGAGCGATGGAACAATTTGAGGGGCAAATTTTAGAGATGGTATTGGTCACAAAGTCTTGCAGCTTGGTAGAAGGAATCTTGACACGATGGTCACGTCCCAACTTTTCGATTATATCAGTAGTATGTGGTTCCTCACTAATTTCAATAGCTGGTGGCATGTCATGAGACTAGAGTGAAGAGGATTCATTATGAGACACAATCCGAACATTTGGTAGCATGCCATCTGATTTATCATGATTATGTAACCTTGTAGTTTCAACTGCTGGAGCTGAAGGGACAACAAGTATAGTAACAACATGCTGAAAGGAATCATCTTCAACAACATTGTTATTGGAAGAGGCATCAGGCAAGGTGTGGTCATCTTTAGATGCAGGCTGGTGGGGTATAATTTCTGCAGCAAATGGAAACTTATCTTCATAGAAAATAATATCTCTTGAGTTAAAGGAAACACCTAGCTCCAAGTCATACACATGCCATTCCTTGGTGCCGTAAGGATAACCAACAAATACATACTTGCAACTTCGAATAGCAAATTTGTTACCCTCATGATGTTGATTATGCGCATAAGCTAGGCAACCAATGATACGGAGGTGCTCAAGAGAAGGAGGCTTACCATACAAAAGTTCAAATGGAGTTTTACCATCTAAATTTTGTGTAGGAGTTCGATTGACCAAGTAACATGCAACAAGAACACATTCCCCCCAAAATTCAATTCGAAATTGGGCTTGAAAACGCAAAGCACGAGAAACATTACGAATGTGTCTGTACTTCCGCTCTACTCTTCCATTTTGTTGTGGTGTCCTAACATATGAAGTTTCATGAATAATACCACGATCACGGAAATTTGGTTTCATACAAGTGAATTCAATTCCATTATCACTTCAAATCATCTTTACTTGTGTACTAAATTGTCGTTCCACCATTACTAAAAATTGATAAAGATATCTAGAGACTTCAATTTTATCAACGAGAAGATAAATCCACACTGCTCGCGAGAAATCGTCAATAATAGTTAAAAAAGATCTAGCACCACAAAAAGTATCATTTCGATAAGGTCCCCATAAATCACAATGAGAAAAAAGGAGTGGCTGCTTTATTTTCACTAACAGGAAAATTGGCTCGTGACTGTTTTGCTCTAAGGCATATGTCACAAGTCTGAGTACATAAAATATTTTTGCTACTAGGAATAAAATTTGAAAGCATTTGCAGAACCTTCAAAGATGCATGTCCTAGTCTTTTGTACATCAAATCAAAAGAAACTTGTTTTTTAGTCTTCACTGCAGTCGCCTTGTCAATCCCTCTAAGATATGATCTAACCTGATCAGACTTGGACCGTCACGGCTGGCTCCGAGCTGAAGTTTTGAACGAGGTGGGGGGGGGGGGGGGTACCTGCAAGGCACTCCGATGCTGAAGTAAGTAAGAGCACGAGCAGGCAAGAGTATGAGTATGGGTAAAAGAATGAATACCTGACCCTCTGGGAACAAAGGGTATTTATAGCCCCCAGCGCTGGGCCAAGGTTCCTTCATTGGGCCGGGCAGGTTTGGCCCAATGGAGGAACTGCCAGGTTCTATGTGCGTAGTGGGGACCCGCACGTGGTCCCCTTCCTGGATGTCCTGCATGAAGTGCGGACGGACGAGGACGCGGTCTTTTCGGGATCCAGGTAATGGCGTAGTGGATAG